TTGAATTTGGAAAAAATTTATTAGCGACTTGTGGATCGATAAATGATTTGGTCGATCCAGAATCGATCAATAATTTTATATTATATTCAGGAAAAATTAAATATGCTAATTCACTTGAATTTGTTGTGTTTAATGAAATTATTTTCGGTTTTATGTGTCTTGATTGGGAGTAGGAGTATCGTGAAAATTTTGTCTGTCAACATTCGAAACAATATCTGTCTGTATTTCGGTTTCATTGATATCTTGATAATTGACATTAAATTCCTCGTAATCTTGAGGTTCAGAGTATTCAATATTTTGATCATATGTCTCTTCTTGATTTGCCTCTGTATTGAAAAGTTCTTCGACAATAATATTTGGATTTTTACCAACATTACTAAAATAATTACGATTTTGATTTTGGTTAGAAAAATTATTTCTATATTGGTTTGATGTTGACGGACCCGCTCTATTTACGTTTGTAGTGTTTCTAGTAGAGACACTCATAGGTGTAGGTGGTGGAAATCTTTGTCCAGGATTGGGTTTAAATACATTAACATTTGAAGGTGTTTTAAAAACTTGGGAGTTAGTAAAAAATTTAGGTTGTTGATAGTTAGGGTTAGGCCTTATATTTATAGGTTGGCTAGGAAAAGTATTTTGTCTAAATTGATTATTTTGTGTATGCGAATTTAAAGGTAAATTCTGAGAAGAACCGAAATTAGGTCGCGGTACTTGTGGCATTTGTTGTCTAAATTGTTGTATTTGTGCCACAGGTGGCCTAAATATATTTTTGTTACTAGAAAAATTTTGAAAATAATGAATATTATCTTCAGAAATTACGTATTGTAAAGCTTCTCCCAAAGTACTAGGTTTCATGCAACGTATAGTAGTTCCCAAAGGTTCTCGTAACCCAGACAAGAAAGTTTTTAGAGCTATATCCTGATATAAATTTTTCTTTAAGTTTTTTGCCTCAGTAGTTGATTCGTGAATGTCAACATAACTACATAGAAGATTTAAAATATTTAAACATTTATCGAAAAATTGCTGTGGCTTTTCATTTGGCAATTGTCTTAACATTACTAGATCTCTATTGAGACAACACTCATCTCTTTGATCAGCAAAGTTTCTGGTTAAAACAGTTTTTAAATCTTCCCATGTGGCTGTATTTTGAATGCTTCCAACTATTTTGGCGTTGCCCTTAAGCTTAGAAATTATAGAATTCATTAAATATGTATTTTCAAATTTATTTGGATTACTATGGTCATAAAAATTATTTATTAACGATTCACTTATAGATATGTACCTATTTAATTCGTTAGGATTGCCGTCGAATTCAGGCAAACAATTTAAATATTCAGCTTTGAAAGTTTGTGTCATCTTGCTTATATTCGAATTTAAATTTCTTTGTAAAATTTCGTTAATTGGTTGAGAGTCAGTTGAAGGTTTGTTAAAACTTAATTTTTTAAAAAATTTCAGAAAGTTCTTCCATAAATTGTACTTACAGTAAGATGAGAGCGATTCTGAGCATCCTTTCCTATGAAGAAATTCACCAGGTCTGCAATGTAGTCTTCGCTGATGGTTCCTTCGCAAATTTGGACAATGTTGTTCCAAACTTCGATGTTCTGCTCGAGCGAATTGTGTATTGGTCCAATACGAGGTCGGTTTCTTGATTTTGAAGAGCCGCCAGTACACTTTCCACTTTTCGCGAACAACTGTCTAGGATCTGTTCACAGTCAATCGTTAAAACGAAAATTCACGTTCGATACGGGAATTCTGTGTATCCTACCGACTGCGCCAAATAACGCTCGAACACTCAGAAATGCTTTTTTAAAAATTTATTTATTACAAAAAATTGGTTTTAGTACATGTGTATGCTATGATGGTTGACAATCAACTGCCTAATTAAAATGAATTAGAATAAAAAGTAAAAAGTATATGTCAGCTTAATTGTCTTGGTGGGAACGGCTGTCTCTCTTCTTCTTATTGAAGGATAGGAATCTTCTGATATATTTCGTGTGTTGTCTAAAGAAATGGATAGTAGCACTTCAAGTAAGTTTAATTATAGAATTTAGGAGTTACACGGCCTTATGATCACCACATTGTGGTAGAACTAACGCACACGGATTCTCTACTTTATGGTCATTTACTATTATTATTATACGAGACCGTAAAGTAGTGTAATTATGAATTAATGAGACCTTTCTCTTTAACTAGGTTCGTCATCAGCATCAGATTCAGAGTCATCTGCATATGCGGAGCAATCTGGATCAGAGTTAGCAGTGGGAGAGTAACAAGAAAAGGATGTTATTCCTGAACAACCTCTACCAGCCTCACAGGTTCCTAGCATTAAATCGATATTAGGGAAAGTCCCAATCGCTGCAGTGCCAAAAGGTCCCCCGTTAACGAGGATACAGCTACTTATTGGACATCTATTTTAACTCTGTATCGTTATTTGTAACCATATGGTTACATTGCACTAGATTAATAGAGAGTTATTGGAAGCCCGATAAGAACAGCCACTAATAGTGCCGTTCTTATTGACAAGTACGCATGCGCAGTTGTAACCTTCAAGCTCTTTAGAATGAAGAAGAATGAGTGGGAGGGGGGTTAATCACTTCGACCTTACAGATCCATTGTGTCCCCCTTTCTTGAATCATAACTCATCATACAGTCCCAGGGCTTTGACAAAAGCCAGTATCTGGGACGGTTTTATAGAGGGTAGTTCTCCATCTCCAATATCAGTCGTACCAAAATTCATGGCACGAATGGTTGTCGTCTCGGCGCACTCAGTGATGAGGTGTACTGGTGTTTCACCATCTTCCCCACAGAATCTGCATTCGCCGTTTCTTCTTAGTTTCAATCTACTGAGGTGTTCATTGAGGAGACAGTGTCCTGTTAAAAACCCCGTGACAATCCGAAGATTGCTCTTACTCTAGCATTAAATCGATATTAGGGAAAGTCCCAATCGCTGCAGTGCCAAAAGGTCCCCCGTTAACGAGGATACAGCTACTTATTGGACATCTATTTTAACTCTGTATCGTTATTTGTAACCATATGGTTACATTGCACTAGATTAATAGAGAGTTATTGGAAGCCCGATAAGAACAGCCACTAATAGTGCCGTTCTTATTGACAAGTACGCATGCGCAGTTGTAACCTTCAAGCTCTTATGGCAGTATTAAGATTGTGACCGTCAGTATTTGTGAGGGAATTGTGCCATATCAGTATTTTTATTTTTAATTGTTTGGACGAAGATAGACCTGTTTTTTGTTTTGTCTCTACAACCGTTTGTGCATTGAACTATATTGCTTTTTGTTTACATTTGTGTGTTTCATTTCTTCCATTTGGTTCAGTTTAGAAGGTTTCCCTGTTCAAAATGGAGAAAACTAAATTTACCAGGCTTACATTTCAGTATGAAGACGATTTCGCGCTGTTAAGAGAATTTATTAATGTTAACTAACCTATATAAATCCAGAAGGTTGGGAAATAATACAGTAACATCTATTATATTTAGTTAGTATAAACACCTATTGACTATCAACCACCGTGTTCTGATCTTCTTATCACTTCATTGCGCACGCACTCCCTTCTAGATAGCCTGAGGTAGTCCATTTCGGTGGCAAGAAGTCTTCTGCGCAAATCAAAGTTAACCGTCCATACCTCACATCCATAGCACAAGACGGATTCAACTAGGCTCTGACCAAGTCGTTTTTTATTCTTCTCGGATGTGTTCGCTGAAATGGTTTGGGCACCTCATGAGAATGCCAGATGATCAATGGCCAAAACGAGTCTTTCAATGGGTTCCGCCGCAACGAAGGAAACGAGGAAGACCACGACGATCCTGGACCGACGGAATAAGAGAATCCATGGAAGCTCGGCAACTTACCAAAAGAGAACCTATAATAGAAAAATGCCTTATCTTACTTAAAAGAAAAAAATGAAAGAGATAACAGTATTAAAATAAAAGAATTACATTTGAAAGAAAGGCGAATTACTTTGGAAGAACGGAAAATCGCACTGGAAGAGATGCAGTATATGCTTTGTTAGTGGCGTTGTTAAATACGTTTTATAATACTATAGGTTAATCGAGGGGTAAACCGCTGGCGTATTTTGGTGTACAAGATGTTGGCATTTTTGGCATTTTCGTGGTATTATTGGTATTAGCACTAAATTATTTGGCATTAGTGTACAGAAATTCATCAGCGGTTTACCCCTCGAGGTTAATTCAGCATATAGGGGAGAGTCGGCTAAGATGACGCAGTTGGAAAGATGACGCATGTTAACATTTCGGTCACGCCGTGTTTATAAACTAATTTTCCCATCCACGTGTGCCTATTAGGTAAACACAACCGCGCCTATGAAGTTAGCAGCGAGTCGGATGTCAATCAGTCTTTATATGGCCGCCAAAGTGTGAAGGACGTCAGGTGCTGTAAAAATTAGTTCAAAAACTATTCGGTGTAAACGTTTTGTCTGTCATAGAAACTTACTTGTTCTTAGTAACGTAAGTAGTCTAGATCATGACTATCAGCTTAAGCTTTTAGAACTAGTGATAAATTATATGAAAAGTAGATTCGGCCATTTTTTTCGTCCGTTGCAAATTGGCTAAGATGACGCTTGGCGAAGTGGCAAAGATGACGCGCGTCATCTTTACCTCACTTGCGTCATCTTTGCCTACAAATGCTTTTTGTTCATAACTAAAGATTTGTTATGAGTGGTATTTCTTTCAGATGGGTAAATACAAACGAAAAACTGAAAGACGGTCATTTACAGAAGAAGCTCTTACTTCTGCACTTAATGCTACAGAACAAGGTCGTAAAATTCGTGAGGTAGCTAAAAGTTTCGATATCCACGAAGCAACTCTAAGACGTCGTGCTAAAATTAGGAAGAATATTTTAGAAAGCTGACTCACTTGGGCGAGCCTCGAAGAACGAGAAATCGCTGATCATATTAAACATCTTGCTAAATTATTTTTTGGAATAACTGCTATAGAACTCCGACAAGCTGCTTATAAATATGCTGAGATGAAAAATATTAAACACAACTTTAACCGTGAACAAGCCATGGCTGGACCAGATTGGTTTAGAAATTCTCTAAAGAGAAATCCAGATATTTCGTTGAGGAAGTCAGAGGCTACAAGTGTAAACAGAGTATCAGCTTTTAATAAAAGAGAAGTTAGTAATTTTTTCGCCAACTTGGAACAAATTCAAAATAAATATCATTTTGGTCCTGATCGAATGTATAACGTTAACGAAACAGGATGCTCTACAACCCCAAAGGAAGTAAGCAAAAGACTAGCACCTAAAGGTATTAAACAATTTGGTTCTATTTGTTCTTGGGAACGCGGAAAAAATATTACGGTTATGTGTGCCGTGAATGCTACAGGTAGTTTTGTGCCGCCATTATTTATTTTCCCGAAAGAATGAGCCCTCAGTTGGAAAGGAATGGACCATGTGGAGCAATGTATACCTGCACAAAAAATGGATGTATATCAATGAACAAGTTTTCATGATGTGGCTTAAACACTTTCAGGCGAAAGTATCATCTTCTGTTGATAATCCCCAATTGGTATTAGACAACCGAGACAACGAGCCATATATCCTTATCTATTTGCGAATATTGCAAAAGTCACGGGATAGTTATGGTCAGCATTCCACCTCATACTTCGCACAAGTTGCAGCCGCTCGATCTGACTTTTTTTGCGCCTCTGAAGAACGCTTACAGTAGGCAATGCAACTTATTTTTGAAAAGTAAAATTAGCGATGAGCAAAAAGAAAATAAATTGACGCCTTACGATGTTGCCGAAATTTTCAGGCTAGCATATGAACAGGTTGCAAACGTGGAAAAGGGAGCTTCCGGTTTTTCTGCCGCTGGAATATTTCCACTAAATCCAGAAAAATTCACCGAAGACGACTTCACTCCAGCTGAGAGCTTCAATTCTGGCTCTCAGGAAGAAAATCTGTATGGTTCACCACAACGTAATGGGACACCTATTACTGCACCCCTAGTGCAAAGAAAATCACCCCAACCCTCTACTAGTAGGCAATCACCGCCCCCAGACAAACAATTATTATATTTCGACCCAGAGCCTATCACCGTTGCACAAGTTTTGCCTATTCCAAAGGCAAAGGGAACTACTATTAGGAAGAATATGCGAGAAAAACAACATTCACAGATAATAACGAGCACCCCCTTTAAAGATGATTTGGAAAAGAAAGAACAAAAAAAGAATGAAAAAGCAAGAAATGCTGCAAAGAAAAATATTGCCAAAAAAAGTAGGAAAACAAACAAGAAGCTCAAAAGAAAAAGAACAAAGCTACCGGACAGTGATAGTGAGACGAGCAGTTTTGATGAAAAAGAAATTGGCGACGATGACGATCTAGATAACATGTGTAAGAGCGAGTAAGAAAAATATAATATTTTTTTTGTTTATATAGCATAATATATGAATGGTGTTAATATCAATTTAATATTCAAACAACATTAACAAAAGAAGCTAAACTCACCTTAGATGTCGGGACACTTGTGTAATGCTCTCACTCTATGATCACGCAATTTGCAATCTATAAAAATAAAATATACTTGAGCATCACTGGAAAACGCACATGATCACATCGCCATAATCGAGTATATAAAATAGTTAAATATTTTTGTTGTTTCCTAGCTAAGCGACAAGGCGTCTATCCCACACGCAAAAGGGATGGCCACAAAGCGACATAGCTTAATATTGTTGTTCCGCAGCTAAGCGACAAGGCGTCTTTCCCACGCACAAAAGGGATGGCCACAAAGCGACATAGCTTAATATTGTTGTTCCGCAGCTAAGCGACAAGGCGTCTTTCCCACGCACAAAAGGGATGGCCACAAAGCGACATAGCTTAATATTGTTGTTAAACAATTTGGGTCATACGTAAAAATATAAAACACTCCAAAATAATAATACTAAATACCATTTGATAATTTGCCAGGTATTAAAAATCACACCCAATAAATATTACTAAAATACTCTTTGATAAATAGCTGTCCATTACGTATCTTTAATAAATAACACTAAAACACTCTTTGATAAACATCTATCTTTTAACTAAACAATATTAAAATGCCCTTTGATAAACACTTGTCTACTATAAAACACACACACAGAAAAGTAATACTAAAATACCCTTCTCTATCTACTACTAAAGCTCAATAACTGTTAACTAAATAATATTAAACTACTCTCATACAAATCCCAGTAATGCCCGTGAGTGAACAAAATACACTCACCTGTATAATACTTCATTCCTTCTATTCAGTCCCAGAAATATTTTCCACACAATTATAATCTGAATTTAATATTTTTTGATAAATGTCGACGTCAGTCAAAATAATCATCAACAATGCAAACCGCATCGTCTAGGAAACGACAATTTATAATTTCCATTGTAATGCGGCCAAGAAAAGTCAATTAGAGATTCAAATAAAATATTATTTCTTAAAATAACACAATTTAATATAAACAATTTTTTAACGGAAAACAAGACTCTTACACATGAGCGATGTTTCGGAGCACGAAAAATGTGTCATTTGCGGAGATATCGGAAAGAACAGAGAAATGTGGTTTAGATGCACGATTTGCGGTTACTGGGCACACATGGCGTGCACTGACTGCGATTCAGCCGAAAGCCTTGTGTGCGATAGCTGCAGATCCTGAGTTATTTAATAATTTCGCGGATTTTATGTTATTTTGTGTTGTTTATTTCTATTATATCATTTGCATTATAGATGCCATTTATGATAATAAGTTTTTTATGTTGGTTTTGACGTTAATTTTGTTTCTAATGTCATCTTACTTTTTTAACTCAACTGATGTTATCTTAATTATATATATTATATTTGTTTTGAAATTTAAATAAAATACATATACCATTAAGCAATATTTGAGGCTGTTATTAATAATAAATATATTTCATTAATTAAATTATGATATATTATTTGATTTTGTTTCTTGTTATTAAATGCGTCATCTTACCCTTACCTACTGGATAAGATGACGCAGTGTTACTTTTTATGGAATTAGAAATTGCCCCTTTTTAATAAAGTATTAAATTGATTTTAATAAGTACAATGATAAATATCGCTCCGAACTTTCTATAGCTCACTAATTCGCTTTTCTATCTTTAATAGCTACAAATATACAAGTCTTTGCCCTTAAGTGCGTCATCTTCGCCCACTCTCCCCTATGTTTTATATTATCAAATTTAATTAGCATTTAACTGTAAGCCTTTGAAAAGTGTACAATAGTTTATACTTTTCAAATATTCCGTTTTTAAAAATAAATTTTCATTATATTTTTGCAGTTTTGATTTCGTAATATTTTTAAAAATACATAACATTTTATATTCACATTTAAACTGCCCGCCTTTTTTGTGGTAGGTAATGCTGTAATGGTACCTATTTTATCGATTACGTCTGTCATATTTCTATTAGTTCAGTTAGGGCTCAAGGGTGCGCTACAATCGATCCTCGTTAAACGTGTTGCCTACTTTAGACTATGGAAATGACAACTCTTTTATTTTATATTTCTATGCTGTAGATTTAATGCGAGAAATCGAACAAACCGCGCCGATTTCCCTACTCCGCTAAGTGGAGGGGTGCGCCAGTCGAGTACCTCGGCTGCAGCAGTGAGAAACGAAAACGACAGTTCGTGGAAGCAGGGCTGCCTCTCCTACGGATTTTTCCGTACATCTACGGAATTCAGAGGATACCTACGGAATCTCCGATTTTACTTTCAAATCTACGGAATTTTATAAATTTCCGCTTGTATTTTATTTATTAAATACATTTTTACAATGCCAATTCCATCCAGGTATAACTCATATAAAATCACTCAAGTAATATAAAATTATAATATAGTCTTAATATTGAGCGCCATCTGTATATAGTCGCGAATAGTAAATAAAATAATTCCTTTGGGTTTGTTTCCAGACTGTTTTCAAAATAAAACATAGATGTTACACTAATCGTGATGTCGTGACCTTATTTTCTGGGAATAACAGCCTACTATGAATTCCAGAAAAATCTTTGTTTGGTGGTATTTTGTAAGTAAAAACATAAGTTAGGCTGAGCGTAATTTGTAAATCGTTTTTTACAACCGTTAGGGAAGTACACTAGCAATCCGGAATAAAAAACCAAAGTCCAAAATGTAAAACGAAAGTTCAAACTGTAAAACCTTATTTTATTGCAAATGCTGTAGAGATAATTACGTGGGGGGAGGGGGTTACAGAAGCTACAAGACACGAGCAAAGTGAGAAACATCAGACAAAATTAAAATCCTCAAAAACTCAGCGGTCAGCCTCAAGTTTCTTCTCAGTGCATAGTGCTTTCATAGCAGAACATAATTTACCCATAGTGATAGCTGATCATATTCCTCAACTGATACAGTCTATATGTCCTGATAGTAAAATTGCAAAAAGTATTTGTTGCGGGAAAACAAAATGCACCGGCATTATTAAAAATGTATTAGGAAATTATAAATTTACCGAAGTAGTTAATTTGTTACAAAAAAAATGTCCTTGTTAGTTGATGAATCTACAGATAAAGGTACCACTAAACATTTATCGTTAGTAGTGCGGATGCTTCAAACTAACATAACAGTAGATTTGTTTTTAACGTTAATACCGATTATAGATGCATCTTCACTACATTTGTATCAGGCAATAAAAGTTTTTTAACGACCAAAATATACCTTATTCGCAGAATATGATAGGTTTTGCTGCAGACGGAACAAATGTTATGATGGGTGGAAATCAGTCTGTAGCAAAATATATTACTGATGAGATACCAAATATCTTTATATTGAAATGTCCTTGTCATAGTTTTGCACTATGTGCGTCATATGCCTGCAAGAAACTACCAGAATTGGTAGAAACCCTTGTTAGGGAAGTTTATAAATATTTTAAGTACAGCACAAAAAAAGCTGGACATTTTAAAGAGTTTCAAGTTTTTTGTAACACTAAGCCACATAAGATGCTACAACCTTCACAAACAAGGTGGCTTTCCTTAGTTGCAGTAGTCAAACGAGTGTTAGAACAATGGGATGCTCTTCGTGTCCCGAAAGGGTAGTCTGACATCTGCTCAGGTATAACGTACCTCTCGGGGGAATCTAGTTAAGGGCTATTAATTAATTATCTTTTTCGTATTATTAAAGTTGTAAAGTGTAAATCCCGAGGCTGGTTCTGTCGCGCTCGGATTTCTCAAGGTATGCCGTCCGGACGGTACCCTGTAACAGTGACGCTTGACGGGATCTCGCCAAATTTCCGAGGCTGTCCTGACCGGGCTGTGTGTGTGTGTGTGTAATGCGCCTATCCGAACGATGTACAACTTGCCGACGCGTCTGTAACTCCGACGCCGATCCCGGACTCGCGCGGCTGTATCCAACGGGACGCCGGTAACTTCAACGCCGATCCGGGATTCGTGTTTCGTTTTTAAAAGAACGCCGTTCCGGTAGATACGTTGCTGTGACCATCGGTTGTTAATGTAACTTTTGATTTACGAGATTCTAGTATTCATTTTGTTTTACTATGGTTATTGCAATTCGAGAACGTAAACTTTTCTTTGATTGCTCTTTGTATATAATTAATTTGTTAAATAAAAACTTAGTGTTACGTTATAATTAATTGTACGTTTTATTTTCTTTTCATCTCATCACTCTCTGGTATCTCCACTGTATAAAAGCTACCCGTACTGGCACTAGTGGTCCCTTAACCCCTATAAACTTTTAAGGGTGGCGCCCGAGAAACGACCCAAGGCAACTCGGCGTCCGTAAGCGTCCTCAAAAAGGGAGATAATCTTACAAAATTGGCGCCCGAGCAGGGACTTTTTTTCAAGAATTTGAATCTAAAACCGTCAAAAATACCAGGAAAATCGGGTAAAGCTAGTAAAAGCGAGAAAGCTATTGAAACAGTATGAGAGGAGGTGAAAAGAGAATAACAACCATCGAACACAAGTACCTCTAGAGGCAGTAAAGTCTCAGTACCCCTGAGTTAAATACTAGAGAAATCTAGAGCGATATGGAGACTGAAGATTTTTTGTCAATCGGTGCTTCCGTCGAAGGTAACGACGCCGGACCGCAGCTGTCGCATACAAGTTTCAACCTGGCGCCATCTGGCACGAGTGCTGAATCTGATTTCAGGACAGGATGGATTTATTACCTGAAGAAGTCTGAACTAGCCGCACAATTGTTGCGTTTCGGATTGGATAGTGCCGGGACTGTTGAAGAAATGCGAAAAAGAATAGTGAGATTCATTAGAGAAGGACAGGCGAGTACACAGCCTGTGACGCAGCCTTTTCGATTTTCTGGAAATAGTACTGCTGTACCGACAGTGAATTCAACAGCAACCTTGACCACTACAACAGTAACAACAACAG